GAGTCCTCCACTGGTCCCTACCCTGAGCCAGATCAATCCAATCCATACCATCCCGCCCTATCTATCTAAGATTCTTTTCAATATTGTCTACCCCCCTACACCTTGGTCTTTCCAGTGGTCTCTTTCCTTCTAGCTTTCCCACCAATATCCTATATGCATTCCTCTTCTCCCCCATTCGTGCTACATGCCCTGCCTACCTCATCATCCTTGACATTTTTAACATTTTCGTAACAAGCTTATTTTTTACTGTGAGGAGTTTTTAGCCCCATGCCCAATCTCCTAGCTCTGGGACCACCCCTTGTCGGCTGTCCGCGACTGCTTATTCTATATATTCGGAGCTTCCCTCCATATCTGGAGGGCGTCTCCTCCGTTCACAACCTAATGGCGCTCCTTGTCGTGGTGAGAAGGGACCTACCTAACATAGAACACCAAAATATGTTAAAAATTGTAATAATCCTTGCTGAATTTACAAATAAATTAGTCGAAATAAGATCCTCCGTGTTCAGTGCACAACTCAGCGCTGATGCCTTTCTACAAATTGACTGGCAAGGTTAACTCTGAACATTCCCGTTAATACGTGAGAATATTTTAGGTTAACTCATTTTGGGGCCACTCCTTATTTCAGCAGTTCTTACAGGGTTCTTATTTTCATCCCTTACGAAAAATTGAGCATCTCGGCTCTGCTTTGAGTCTCTCTTGGCCTGAACCTGCCTCTATTTCTGGATGCCAGTTCAAGTGTGTGTGCGTGAGCAACAATTATTTCATCTTGATTGAAGTTCTTCTGTTTCCATCTTCAGGGTCAAAGTAAGTGAAGAAAGCAGAAAGCTGAGTTTGGTTTACTGTTCGAATATCAAGATATAGGATATATTTTTCGCCAATATTTCCTTAAACGTCTACCAAACTTGATGCTGTCACATCCCAGAAGACATGGACATTGCCATGTGAGAACCACAAATAAAATATATTTAAAAATTATGTTGTAAAAATTGAGGGTTTTGCCTTTACTTTAAACTGAAATCTTACTCAACATTTTCACATAGGTCTGACGGTTGCGTTCGAAGTAAGAAAGTTGAGACACTCTGGACTGTGTTCATTTTGTTATACAGTTCAAGTGAATATACGATTTTATTGAACATTTTATTTTCATTACGTCTGTTCATTCTTTGCAACTACTTGCTTGGGGATGTATCATTCAGACTGGTAACTGTATTTATGTAGTACGCACAAAACCAAGCTAAACGAACATAACATGAAGCAAAGAGAATGAAAGTTTCAACATTTCTGTTGCCAGGAAAACGTATTCCGCCTCTCTGCCTTCTATTCCTCCTCCCGCCTCCCGTGACCGGATGACCCTTATTAAGACAGAATGATGTATTTCTTCATTAATATATTTCTATCTTCCGGGAAACGGGATAGCTCATTCGATATAGGGATGGGCTAGGCCACTAGGACTAGACTCCCAGCAGAGTCAAGGGGTTATTCTCGGTATCACAGCATCCACATCGGAACTGAGGCCCACCCAGCCTCATATTCAATGGGTAACGTGGGCTCTGTCCCTGTGGGTAAAGCGGCAGAAGCATGAGGCTGGCCATTCAACTCCGTATAATGCCGAACTCAAGAACGGTGGAGCTGTACCTTCACTTCCTCATGTATCTTTTTGTGCTTATTTAATTAAACACAGAGACAATTTCGCCTTATATTTTTATCCGGTCAGAGTTCCTGGCTATAAATTCAGAGGCCCCGGGTTCGATTCCCGGCGCTACCAGATTTTCTGAGAAGTAGTGGGTCTGGAACGGGGTCCACTCAGCCTCGTGAAAATTATTGAGGAGTTATTTCAAGGAAATAGCGACTCCGGTCTAGAAAACTGAAATTAACAGCCGTTGGGGATCCATACATCGCGGAACATTTATTCCTGACATTTTTCTATTTATGTTGTACTTATCGACGCTTTCAGTTTCTAAGGTCATAGAGCGTCTAACGATAGGATCATCAATAAATAATAAATATAAAGAAATGTAGAAGGAAGTGGTCGAGATCTATTTTAAAGAACGGTTCCGGAAATCTTCTTGAGGAACTCAGTAAAACTACCAAAAATTCTCTCTTACCTTAATCGATCTTCCAGACGAGAATTCAATTAAGATGAAAGAGAAGTTCTATTGACTAGACTATAGGTGGCAGCACTGTAATGCCGTCACTACTGTAGCAGACCCAGGTTCCACATCAAGAACATCTGGCACACTGTAAGCTTGTTCACGTTCTCTTCATTTTCTTCGGTACATATATTTTATTTAAAATGCATCTCCACAGCTACCCTAATATTCCCGGGAAGCTGCATAGTTTAATGCCGTTATTCTGGACTCCGTGACCAGCCCACGAAACCGCCCTCTTCCATACTGCGCCCTCTTCTGTCTCCACCCCCTCCCCAATTCGTCCACACGATTGTAACATATCAAACAAGTAATTCAATATCGCACCTACATGCTTATGGTTATCGCACTTACGGAATGGACAGTCCCAAACAGCGGACTCTGATGGTCCTACTGTTTTGGGGTTGGTCAGAGGGTTGAAAATCCCACGCCCTAAAAATTACGATAAATAAAACAGTTTAAAAGTAAAGAACCAGACATCAGACAAAACAAAAATTGCTATCTTCTCCAATAATACAGCAATCTTAGCCATACGTGAAGATCCAGCGATAGCCTCAATGAAGCTCCAAGCCACCACCAATAAGAATGGGGGCTCGGGCGAAGAAATCGAGATTTAAAATAAATGAAAGCAAATCCACACATATTACATTCAGCCTACGCAACCAAACGTGCCCGACAATGGGCAATGTTGATCTACCCCAGAAAAAGTAAGTGAAAAGCCTGTGCATGCACCTCAGTGGGGACTGACATGGGCAAAGCACATCAAAACCGAAAGAAAACAGCTCAACCAAAAAGCGAAACAAATGAACTGGCTGCTCGGAAGATCAGCACTGTTAAAAGAAAGCAAACTCCTCCTATATAAAGCAGTACTCAAACCCATACGGACATATGGGGGATAGCCTCCAATTCCAACAACAAAATCCTCCAGTGCTTTCAATCCGAGGCTGTCCGATCTGTTCGAACGCACCTTGCTACATAAACAACCACAGGATCCATGAAGATCTATGATCTATGATCACAGTGCTCAGTGAAATAAAAACTGAATACCAAATTCTTAAGGAAATTATTAAACCACGCTAATGCACTAGCAGTGAACGTACCGGACGAAGCGAAACTACTCAAAGACTGAAAAGACACACCGTCATGACTCTACCAGACAGGCCTGAGTAAATGCAAGAAATAAAATGATAGCCAAATGAACAAAAAGTAAAAGTATGCTACCTACACAATAGAATTCTGTTTTCTATGGTGTCCGTGCTGCGGCTATATAACGAGAGCTGTGAGTCATTTCAGAGCGAATTGGAACCAGGAGTACAGAAGAGTACATGAGGTCGGCCTGTGAAGATTTGAAGTGTGATTTCAAGACTGGTTATGTGTAATACTTGGAGTGTGTAATCCAGTGAGACTGTTATTGTTTCTGAGTGGAGATCCGTTGCCAGGAAACGACTAGTGAAGACTGGGAATCCTAGTGCGTGTGCAGCGGTGAACTGCAAAGTGTGTAAATCAGCGATAGCGCTGTGTTGCATGTATTTAAATGTGATTATGAGATATTGTAACCCAAGTTCTAATAAATCCAATCATCCGAACTAGAAGCCGTTACTCTCCTCATGCGTACCCCCTCTTTCCCCACCCTACACGTGACAGGATTGTCTTAAGCTTCAAGATCGAACGTTAAAACAAGCAACTAGCAAAGAAATAAACAACTGCATGCTCGGTTTATTCTTAAACCCTGAGATTGGAGCAACAGATTCCTCAGAAAAGTCGACGAACTTCTACGTGACCACACGGCGTTACATTCCACATCTGTTCAACTAATCTGATATATAGTGATGAAGCCATATGAAAGATTACCGAGAATCCATCAAGACAACTGCGTCTTGTGCTCTATCACAGCTGTCGGCCAACTTGTAACTGAGTGAAGAATACAGTAGGACGTACACCGGCATGCATCAAGACATGTAACAGTCAAGACACGATGTCTGCTACATGACACAAAGAAAGGAGCACAATTGAAATGAATGAGATCATGAAAACCGCCGCACACTGGTCTGAGTTATGACGCTGACGAACACGAATGAAGTAAAACTGCGTCTTTTGTCTCATGTCTTGATGCTTGTCTTGACGCAGTTGGTGTGCGGCCGCCCTACGAGACAGCTCTGTCATTAAATAAAACAAGGCGGACCTAGGCCACGCCTGAGATCTCTGTTCGAAACTGCATGCAGTACACTGAAGCAGGAGAAGTAGTGGACCGCAAGGCGCTTCCATTAACAGAGAGCTGGAGAAAACTTTCTGCTGTGGCTACGGAGATGGATGCAGCGAAAACAAATTTAAATGATTCCACTGACTGTTTATTAGCAGGTGGCTCTGAAAAACTGTAATATTAAGGACAAATAAGCATGGACATTCTCTGCCACATAAAGAAACGCATGTTCATCAGAATCGTCATCGTTCTCTATGGATCGATGTGCCTAAACTCGTAATCACAAAATACTATCTACCTATGGCTCTACAGCCCGTTGTTAGGCCTTGACCGCTTTTCTTGGACGGAGGATCAGCCCGTCACAAGGTCGCTACTTGCGAACAAGGCAGAATAAACGCAGACAGACATTCATGCCTCAAACGGGATTTGGGAATCGAACCCACGATTCCAGTGTTTAAGCTGTGGAAGACAATTCGTGCCTAAGACATCGCGGCCACTGTGATCGGCCAGTCACAAAATATTTGTTTCTGTAAGTTCTTAATGTAACTTATATAGAATTTGCAAATAAGTAACGTCAAGTTACTATATGACATATTTTAAAATTTACGATTACGATAAGAATTTATAATATTTACTTCCACAATTGTTATTACAAATTTTCCTGTTGTCTGCCTTTGTCAAAACCTAATCTAAGGTGTATGTACGGATGTAATACTGACACTGACACTGACACTGACACTGACACTGACACTGACACTGACACTGACACTGACACTGACACTGCAGTGATAAGGTTAGCTCTTTATAACAGATCCAATAGAATAGGTGCCTCCAAACCTTCAAAACAAACACGGTTTCCTAAATGTTATGTTCTTTACAATACCCGGACAATGGTAAAAGGTAAAGCTATCCCTGGAACAGGCCCTGGAGGCTCATAGAGTTGTGAGACGTCGAGGCGCCCACATTTTGTAGACAATCGGCTCACAGATAGCGGTAAGGTTGTCAGCCTTACCCGACGGACGTTCTTTAACACCCCAGGAAGATTCCTGGTACTAATTTCTGTTAGAGGCTGAGTCGACCCCAGGGCCAGGATTAGGCCAATTGAAAAATGCAATGACATCATCAGGGATCGAAACCGCGACCTTCCGGCTTGAAGTATAGTACCTCACCCAACTACGCTATCGCGTGGCCCACCCGGACAATGGACAAAGTCCAAAACTTCATTCATCCCGAGGGAAATATTTAGTTAAGAAACTTAATTCTTCTGAGTGAACTATAGTACATGAAGTTAATTATACGATTCAAGACACGGGATTTGATTTCCATTGTTCCATTCACGAATGTAGTTCACAGAGGTTCAACTACTGGATTTTTTTTCCCCTTTGGAACTATAGCCCCAGTGGGCCTAGGCCTACCTCCATGAACTCCGTTCACTTCGGTTTTTCTAGATCTTACACGTTCGGTAGGACTCCTTGGGCGAGTGATCAGCTCGTCGCAAGGCCTCTACCTGTAGACAAACACAGAAAAACGCATACAAACATCCATGCCCTGAGTGGGATTCGAACCCACGATCCTGGTTTCAAAGCGAGCGAAGACAGTGCATGCCTTAGACCGCTGGGCTACCGTGACCGGCTCAACTACTGGAATACTGCATACATTCGATTCTTCCACGACAGGAAGTTTTACCTTCAGTACAGCGCCTGAAGTTATTACTCAATGGACACACAAATCACATAAATTCACCCTTCCCTTTTTAAAATTCATTTAATTTCTCACAGAGAAGTGCTTAATAACATTTAATTTAGCCATTATGTTCTTGATGACCTATTATGAAGCGCGTGTTGTGGAATTATTGGTGCTATTAGATGTTTCGCGTAATAATGCTGGCTGTTTTTATATCCACATGCCGTATTTAATAGAGATTTCCTGGAGCATGTATAATGTCCCGCCAGTTTTAACTCTGTTTTATTACATGAGATAAGGGGGTTTTAAAATTTTGAACTTAAAAAAAGATAATCCCTGCGCTCTTCACAAGCTGTTCATGAAGGTTGTCCCCCTTTATTAGTGCAGCCTTTGACTGCAGGGTATAAATCTTTGAATTACTTTTGTACGTTTTGACTTTTTACTCCTATATCACAGTCAGAATATTAAATCCACCGATTGTAGTTTTCGCCTCTCCAGAAATCTCGCAGCTACACTCTCTCAGCCAAATATTCGAGAATTACCAGAATCTTAAAACACAGGTCTAGTCAGACTGCAGATGTTCGGAACGTTTCTCGAGTATGGCTACTAACTACATTGAGAAATACGTTATTTAATGGTATGTTTAAAATGAAAGTACAATTTGAATGTTGCATTTGTGTTTTATTTCCGAAACTAATAAAAGTGTTTTGAATACATTCTGCTTTGGAGTTCATACCAAAAGTTCTTAGATAAATTTACTAATTTTTGGTATCTCTACATTATGTATAACTCGTACTTTAAACAAATTAAAATTGAAGTTGGTAATTACCAAAAAATAATAGACTCACAATATATAACAGTGGTGAAAGGTACTTTGACTGTGGTACTATGGCCGTAAGATACTGTGGCATATAGATCCGTTGCTAAGCGGTGACTTCGTATAGAGTGGCCGTTACTAGGTAACGCCCGCAGCAATATAAAAACGGGGTTATGGAACCCGTTTCTAAGGAACGGCTTGGTAAACACTTTCCCGCGGAAACGATATCCAGTCTATCTCCAGGCAAACTCCCATGGCAACAATAGAAGAACTGCTGAAGGCGGTGTTTTCTATTGGATCCGCCTCGAAGCTATAAAACGAGGATCCCCTGCCCGCTGAGTGGCAGTTCAGTTGAGTGAAGTGTAGTATTTCGTTGTTGAGTGAGAGTTTGTTGGCGGTTAACTGTGAAGTAAATAGCGAGTTGCAAGAGACTCCATGTGTGATATCTGAAGTGTGTAATTCAGTGAGACTGTTATAGTTCCTGTGTTATAAGTCCGTTGTCAGGAAACGGTTAGTGGACACTAGTCCGTGTGTCAGTGATCTATAAAGTGTAATTATGAGTCGTGTGTTAACGTGGTCAATAAGTCCATTCACTAATCCGTACCCCTTCTATAGTCACACTAAATCCTGATAGTACATGCCTTCCATCTGAATTATTTTGAAGCCTGAATCCTTTCACATCTAAGCGAGTTTCCATGTCTTTCTATAATACTTCATATTCTGCAGCTCTTCCCCGTATTTTCTTCCTCGTTCTTATCACACTCATCTCCCTAATACATCTCTAATTACTTCTTTCTCCTCTTTTATTGATCTCTTCATGTCCCTTTCTCGCTCTCCTTTGATATACATACTCCTACATGTCACACTGTGGGGCCTATTAGCCTATTATTATAAAACTGATACTGTTTCTGCTACTGCTACTACTACTACTACCAATATTACTATCACTATTGCTACTACTAGACCGCCTCTGTTGTCTAGTGGTCAACGTTGCTGGCTACAGATCCAGAGGTCCGAGTTCCATTCCAGGCGCTACCAGATTTTCTGAGAAGTAGTGGGTCTGGAACGGGGTGCACTCAGCCTCGTGATGACGATTGGGGGGTTATTTCAAGGAAATAGCTGCTCCGGTCTAGAAAACCGAAATTAACGGCAGTTGGGATCCGTTGCGCTGACCACGCGACACCCTCTATCTGCTAAAGATGACACTAACTTCGCCGACAAGCGGCGGTCGCTCGGTCGGTATAGTTCGCTTGCGGACTAAAATCACGGAGTAAAATAAATTGCTACTACTACCATCAGTGATACTACCAGTACTACCACCAGCACTACTACAACCACTATCACCAATACTGTTGCTATTACTACTGCTACCACTACTACAATCGATATCGATACTACAACTACCACCACTGCTACTCGTATTACTACCACAACTATTACCAATGCTGTTGATGCTACTACCGCCGCAAGTACTACCACAAGCACCACCACCATCAGTACAACAATCCACATTGCCACTGCTACCAACACTACTACCACAACAACTACCAATAATACTACCACCACCACCATTACTACAACTACCACCACTGCTGCTCGTACTACTGCCACAACTATTACCAATGCTGTTGATGCTAGTACGGCCGCAACTACTACCACAAGCACTACCACCATCAGTACAACAATCCACATTGCCACTGCTACCAACACTACTACCACAACAACTACCAATAATACTACTACCACCACCATTACTACAACTACCACCACTGCTGCTCGTACTACTACCACAACTATTACCAATGCTGTTGATGCTACTACCGCCGCAACTACTACCACAAGCACTACCACCATCAATACAACCACAACCCACATTGTCACCGCCACCAACACTACTACCATCACCATTACTACCAATATTACTACCGCTCATGTTATTACTACTACTAACAACGTTTGTTTTCTAAAATGCTGGGAACATAATTTGTATATCCGTGCAAATCTTCAGCTCGTTTAGGCTATATAAGAATTTATGAAGAGTTTAATGTGTATTTTATTTTATATTCGAGTATTTCATTCGAACTGCATACAGGAACGGAGCCCGATCCTTTGATCAGGTCTGCACCTAGTGCTCAATTATAAAGTGCTTGTACTTTAATTTACTGCAGCGAGTTTGAGTGTGGGTGGTGGGTTAGTAGCAAAGTGCTTTGTTGCGTTCTGGGTTCTCACCGCTAATCTTGTACTGTGTGTGACACCCCCTTAACGCCGAACACACCACAACCGCTAGTGTGAACCGGGCTATATCGATCAAAGAACAAAGCCATAGCATTCCTAACACGAGTGTTAGATTCTGTGATTGCTTCTCTGTGTCCGAAGTTTTTAACGTATCGACAGACGTTTAGGAAATGCATCCTACAAGACTTTGAGGAACGAATTGGAGCAGAATCACACAGGATTTTTATGTTAGTCAGGAGCCTTAATCTATAATAGAATGTAGCATCAGTTTTCAAAGCCTACTGTGTACTGTACTCTTCTCCGAGTATAATTAGAATGATCAAGTCAAGGAGAATGAGGTGGGCAGGGCATGTAGTACGAATGGGAGAGAAGAGGAATGCATATAGGATATCGGTGGCAAAGCCAGAAGGAAAGAGACCACTGGGAAGAAAAGGCGTAGGTGGGTGGATAATATTAAAATGGATCTTAGAGAGATAAAATGAGATGGTATGGATTGAATTGATCTAGTTCAAGATAGGTACCAGTGGAGGGCTCTTGTATACACGGTAATGAACCTTCGGGTTCAATAAAATTCTGGGAAATTCTTGAGTAGCTGCAGAATTGGCGGCTCCTCAAGAAGGGCTTAGCTCCATAAGTAAGTAAGTACTGTGTGCAATAATAACAATAACGTAACCCTGATTACGGGTTTATACTTCGGAGATTATTACTAGATAAAAATGAAAGACACTGACATGTTGAGTCCGCGTGTTGTAGCTGCAGGAACATTAATTTCCAGATTACCCAACTGTGACGTGGTTCTAATGTTATATGTATGTATCAACGAGAGGGGGAGATGGGAGGACTGGGGTACAGTAAAATGTGTACGGATTAATATGACCATATCCGAAAATATCCATTATATGAGACAGACACCCTATGCTGTTGACCCAAAACCCATAACAGCCATCCTGTACCCATTTCGCTCCATACAACTGTTTGCCTGCAAAATAGTCGTGCACAATAGCCAATTGGTTAATTACATCATCAGTCTTGACTATTCGTCCATGCGTAACATGTGACCTCCATTCCAACACAAATCACTGAACTGAACTAACTGGAAGGATCTGGCTTCATTTGTTCCTAGCCCGTCACTCTGCAGTTTCGATGCTAGGAATGCGGCGTGCATTGTCTCATGTTGACACGAGAGGGTGTCACATCTCTGCATTTCATTCACCAACTTTCAACGTGGCAACACTGTCAGCGAGTTAGCTCTACTACATTTTGTATGTTCACATTAGTGTTGTAAGATAATATCCCGTATTATGAAGCGACTATAGATGGAGTTTAGAGTGATAATTGGATTTTTTGACCACTTAAAAACAAGACTCGTGACTACACTTAATAATAGCTGGTTCGCTGATCTCCACACTCTACTTATTAATAGTTTTCAATAGTCGTTTCCTGATAATGGCTTCTAATAACGGAGATTCTTCAACTGTACTGACTAAGTCGTCTCTTCACAGATTCCGTATAACTCTCTCAGTGCTTCAACTGGCTAACTCCCAGGCTGGCGGCCATTTCAAACCAACACACTGATTTTCAACTGAGCCGACAAGCGGCGGTCGCTCGGTCGGTATAGTTCGCTTCCGGACTCAAGCCACGGAGTTTGTTTTATTATTATTATTATTATTGAATTTCTTTGCTGTCATAAGTTATACTAGCCATGATTCTTCCAAAATCATGTTGACATATTTTTGAGGAATGTCACCTAGACGTTTTGGGAGAAGTCGCTACATTTTAAAGCACACTGAGTCCATCCGAAACGAACATATTCAGGCGAGAATTGTAAACANCTATGTTTCTCTGCGTTTTCTCACTTTATTTCCTCAGTAATTCTCTGTCCTTTCTGTTGCTCCAACTTTTGAGCACAGGGTATCCGTGAAACGTTTTGTTTCACTTCAGTTTCTTAATCCTAAAACAGTTTGTAGGACTGCTTGGAAGGGGGATCAGCCCATTGCAATGCCTCTATGTACACACTGAACAACGCAAACACAGAATAACCGCAAAGAGACATCCATGCCTTGAGTGGGATTCGAACACACGACCCCAGTGTTCGAGCGAGCGAAGACAATTCATGCACTAAGACCTCGCGGCCACCGTAATCGGTTAATTAGCTAATTAACGCTTTACTTTACTTAATTATTATCCTGCATGCCTTGTATTTTGTTCATGTTCTTCCCCCCCTTGGCACAACAGCTCCAGTGGGCCTAGGCCTACCTCCATGAACTTCTCCGTTCACTTCGGTTTTTCTAGATCTTACACATTCGGTAGGACTCCTTGGGCCGGTGATCAGGTCGTCGCAAGGCCTCTACCTGTACACAAACACAGAAAAACGCACACACAGAAACTAAACATCGATGCCCTGAGTGGGATTCGAACTCACGATCTCGGTTTCCAAGCGAGCGAAGATAGTACATGCCTTAGACCGCTCGGCTACCGTGACCGGCCCTGTTTATACTATTTTAGGCATATATATTTCCCTAATACAGCGGCCGCACACCAACTGCGTCAAGACAAGCATCAAGACATGGGACAAAAGACGCAGTCATGCTTCATTCATGATTCGTTAACATGAAGCTGACGTCAGCATCATGACTTAGACCGGTGTGAGGCGGTTTTCTTAATCTCATTCGTTTTAACTGTGCTCCTTTCTTTGCGTCATGTCGCAGACATCGTGTCTTGACGCATGTCGGTGTGCGGCCTACCTCAGGAAGAAATGAACGATTATCACATAGCAAAGCCCTGATCAGGAGCGTGTGTAAGCAAATGAAAAGGATGTGCAATTTCTCATGTCTTTTCAGCATCCGAGGACAACGTGAAGATTCCGTTTCTGCCCATTTCAACAGCCTCAGTTGCATTCTGATTGTGTCTGTTTCAGATGCCTTTACGCCTGGCAGCAGCTGTGCTCATGATGGTATCCTTTGCACCCCTCCATTGGGGGCAGCAGGTTGCACCCTGCACTTTCAACTCCATGTGCTCATGCAAGTTTGGGGAGGGAGACACTCGGGGAATCCACTTCACGACCCCCAAGTCCCTGGACAGCGTCACTGATATCAGCTGTGTTGGTGTGCCCTTCTCCAAACTTCCCGGTAATTAATTTTATTTCGTTCTTATATTACACATCTGGGACCTGTAGCCTAGCAAGTTCACGAGATGCGTTTTGTTACGCGTTTCACAACGTCTTTATTTTACGTCCTCTATGCAATTTCAATTGGACCGCCTCTGTGGTCTAGTCGTCAGAGTTCCTGCCTAGAGATCCAGAGGTCCCGGGTTCGATTCCAGGCGATAATACATTTTCTGAGAAATAGTGGATCTGGAACGAGGTCACTCAGCCTCGTGAGGATAATTGAGGAGCCATTTCAAAGAAATAGCAGCTCCGGTCTAGAAATCCGAGACTAATGGCCGTGGGGATCCGTTGCGCTGACCACGCGACACCCTCTATCCGCTAAAGTTTGCACTAACTTCGCCGACAAGCGGCGGTCGCTCGGTCGGTATAGTTCGCTTGTGGACTAAAGGCCAGTGTCAGTACTACTAAATTACAGCTCACGTGTTTAATTACGTTAAGGGTATTTACTTGTTCTGGTAATTAATTGACAGGGCTGATATACGTATATCGTCAATAATTTAATGTGTATAGACACATTGGAGAATTCTCCATGCAGTTCGCATTCGAGAATTCCTCCAATGTCTGGAAAAAGGGCTTGAAATCATTATCCTAAAATCTCTTATTTACCTCTCAGAATGTTTAGACCTTTCAAAATTATGAAGGATTTTTTCGGTTTAGGGAAAACGAAAAAGTTCCACGGGGCAGAATAATATGAGAATGAAGGGTCTGCCAACAATTCTGTTTTTCCTTGGTTAAAGATCGCTTTACTGAAATCGATGTGCTCAAATGCGCATTCTTTTAATTCAAAATTCACTTGTCCGGTTATTTTTTCTCTTGCTTTTTTTAACGAATTAATCACTGTAAATATTAAAAAATTTAGTGACAGAATACTTGGTTGTTTCCCTATAAGATGAAACTCACGTTGAATGATTAATATCAGACAATTAGGTCAGCATTATTTTGAACTTTGATTTTCATATTCGCCCTCGTTTTATCTCTGGGACTTCATCTTAAAACTGAAAAAAAAAATAATTTCCTCATGTTACTGACAAACACGACCGCGCCAGAGCCCAGGCAGTTAGTCGCTGATCTCCCACCGCGACGGCCCAGGTTCGATTCCGGATCTGGTCAAGTGGGCTTTGTGGCGGACAAAGTGGCGCTAGGGCGGGTTTTCTCCGGGTATTTCGGTTTCCCCTGCCAATCTTCATTCCACCAAAATTCTCATCATAATCACCCGGGGCAGACTACAATAGGCCAATCAGTTGTCACCGTGCCGAGTGGACCCAGTTGGGACTCCATCCCCCACTAAGCGAATTAAAGAAAATTGTTTTCTGACAACACAAAAGAGGGTGCAGATAAAACACACATTGCAAACCTGAGAACCAAATAAATTCCAAAGATTTTTTAGCACGAAACAGCTGATTCATAATTGCCTTGTTATCGAACACGCGTTAGATATGCGGTATTTCCAGTTGCTGTACAAAATCGTTAAGTCCTCTTATTAATCATCAGGCTAAGTCTGTAAGGGCCTGACTAACTAACGAATGTACGTAAGCTTCAGATGTTCATAATTTTATACTAAGTTCTGCCAATTATGGACATGTGTTTCTCTATTTGTCCGCTAGATGGGTTTCTGGTAAGTGCCGCGTAAAGGAGGGGATAATTTTTGTATAGAAGAGCCGGGTCACCCTAAAGTCTTGAAGTCCCAGGTCACGCACAAAAATATTGTTTCCATCAGCGCTACACCGTCGTCTGCCAGGCTGCCTGCTCCTACGGCGTAACTGCGATAAGATACAAATAGTATAAAGATGTAAATTAAGAACGAAGGCACATTGTTCATCTGCCTTAACCTCACAAGCGTGAGCGTCGAAAATTTCGACCGTTACAAAAATTGCTATATTTGATAACATGTGGCACTTAATGCCCTGTTTCCTAACTGAATAGTAATGAAATGGGGGCATACGGTAGCGTAGTTGGTTGAAGCACTATGCTACAAGCCGGAAGGTCGCGGGATCAAGTCTCGATGAGGTCACTGGATTTTTTTAAATTGACCTAATCCTTCCAGCCGCACTGTGGCCCTGGGGTCGACTCAGCCTCTAACAGAAATGAGTACCAGGAATCTTCCTGGAGGGTAAAGGGCGGCCGGCGCGTAAGGCTAACAACCTCACCGCCATCTGTGAGCCGATTCTCTAGATAACGTAATGTGGGAGCCTCAGCATCTCAAAACCCTATTGACCTTCATGGCCTGTTACAGGGATAGCTTTAATTTTTACTTTTTACTTACTTAATACTAATGAAATATGTTTCAGTTATTCTAATTCCATTACATTTGAAGCTCTTATGGTGTTTATAAATATATATTACTTTTGTGTGTGTGCGTGCGTGCGTCTGTGTGTGTGTAAAAGAGAGATCTTCTGAGAATATGATGGCTGTCAGTATTTAGATGAGAAATTTGATTTTAAATCTTCTAGTATGATTAACTGATTAAGAACAAAACCCCATAAAAAATAACTCTAAATTTTTTACAGATTTGCCAGGGGGTCTGGTGGTGCACATGGACTTGGTGAAGTCGGGCCTGGAGGCGCTAGAAAACGAGGCGATGGACGGCTTCCAGATCGAATCCCTGCGACTCATGAGCAATAAAATTCAAGAGGTTGGCGAAGAGACATTCAGGTAAGACAACAGCAGTGCTTACACTTACTGGATCTATGAACACTGTCCAACAGCTAGTACCTGAAGAGAACACAGTTACATAGTGCAGACCCATTAGAGGGGGTCTAATGCCAACCACTAGATAGACAAAGTTAGGTAATTACCAGGGCCCGGACTTTGATGACCTAAAAATATTTAAAAAATGACCTATAAAATGGCCGAAAAAATCCAGAAAAACGACCTAAAATATGACCCAAAAATGTAATATGCAGGGCCCGGATTTTGATGACCTGAAAATATTCAAAAAATGACCGAAAAAATCCAGAAAAAAGAAAAGAAAGAACACTTCGCTTCCATGTTATTCACATTTCAGAAAACATATGAAGAAAAATTCCCTAAAATGGCTAAAAATGACAAGAAATACCCTTAAAAGTCCAAAAATTACCTATAAAATTTACATTTCTGTAACCAGCAGCTCATATCCGAGATTTATATATTTAAGAGCATCGCATAGGATACAAAGAAAAAAAGATGACGTGTCATCAAAATCCGGGCCCTGCTAATTACATATAAGCACCTGTGATCAGTTTCAACCATGGGAGATATTAACAAAATCTAGAATAAAAATTTCGGAGAGTAACATTGAGACCCTCCACCGACACCCTGCCCGACACGAATCGCCTGTGCCACTCAAACACTCGCGCCCGAGCTGCGGGCTGAACGACCGAGAGGTCGAAGTTCGAGTCCCGAGTCTCCATGTTTTCCAGACCGGCTCTGGAGTTCACCCAAACTCCTATCCAATGGTTACCGGAGGCAAAGTATCAGGGGTGTGAAGCTGACTGCTCACCTCAAGCTAGTGCCGAGGTGACGAAAATGTGGATCTATACATCCACTCCTCCGATCTATACATCCACTCCTCCATACGCCTTCATGGCGTAGTGCGTAATTAGTTAAGCAAGGGACAACTTCACTTTTACTTTTATCTGTACATATGTGAATACGCACATTGGTAAGTATATTTTTATAATCACAGATTTAGCAATGTAATGACAATACGGGCCCCAGAATCTTTGTCTTTTGAGACTTGTAAGCAGATCATCGGCTTCGGAGACACAAACCCCGCACAGAATAGTCTGATACTGGACTTGGCATATTCGTCAGATATACATCGGACACCCTTCATCTGAGTGGCCGTTGTGATTCAGTGGAAATCACTTCTTCATATTCATGAAGTCTCGGGTTTGAATGTCGACCTCACTCCTGACTGAGGTTTCTAGTGCCTTCTCTGGCAAATCCTGTGACAGCGCATTCTATATCATTTTCAGTGCACACTTCATCTTACCGTTTGATATTAAATAACTTACGGAGCTGAAAGAGCATTGTTAAATAAAGAATACTTCGTATGGACTCTCATCCTTGGGGTCTCCGATTAAGTTAGCTATATCAGTAGTTACAATATCGCTGTCATAACTATCCGCCTCACAGTTCCTCCGCCATGTTCACATGGCGCCCCTTGTAAGGAGCGTCGTTGTAGCTGAGGCCGTGGATAGTTCAGGAACGTGAGGAAGGAAAACGTCGGCCGTTGGAAGCTGCTACCGAGCAACGGCTAGTGAAAACGTGACTGTGGACAATAGTGTTTATGTAATAGTAAATTTCAAAGTGTAGTCACGCGCTGTATCAAAGAATTCAGTGAATCCGATCATCAATCCGAACCCCGTCTATAGTCACGCTTCTTCTGAACTCTTCAAGGTGATGATAATAAATGAGAAAATACGAAGTAAATAGAAAGATTACCTATATACTGAACATAATTAGAACATCTGAATTCAACATCTTTCCAAAAGTCTTGATTGTCAAACAAACTCATAGCATTAACGCTTGTAATGACTCACCAAAAACAATAAATGAAGGCAAGATGTATAATTTTCCAGACAAATGCTAAAAAGAAAGTCGTCTTCTGGGTTTAGGCGCTGTGTATTCTTCGTTTTGGCCGACGTTTCGGAGGAACGTATCGCCTCCATCTTCAGAGCAGTTGAATGGCTTGGAATGCAGAGAGCAGTAGCTGTAGCTACTGCTCTTCATAGTCATCATAGTCATCGCCGTGAAAACCTCAAAACTTACAAATGCTAAAAAGTTTTGTCCGTAATTATGAAACAATGAGAGTAAATAGATGTGCTCAGTAAAAAACAAAGAGAACTCCTTACAACACCACAGTAACAGAGCCAGGGAGATGAGTGTGTAGTATGGAAATACATATGTAAGAAAACCCATGACATCAGCAAACAGCTGGAAATCCCATGGGATAGATCAAATTCATAAAACTTCTGGTTGAAATGTTTCTGCCAAACACAGGACAAACTCTCAGAACTATCAAACGAATGCCTGTCACAACCCAAAACCGTATCCCAGTCTCTGACACGGAGTGTCACATTTGTGAAAGCATAGGTCAGCGGCATCAGACACCTCGCAAATTGGAAAGAGATAGAGCGCCTTCTGACAGGGAACAAACTGTTCACTTCCATAGTAACAAATTCAGTCAGTGCAGAAATGGGAAAAAATTCTGTTCCAACAGAAGCAGGAGGTTATGAAGAACAGTAATATTTATACCAGCTTCTAACATGGCAACTATTAAGTCAATGAATATTGTAATACGTTTGATGTACACTTCATACATAATACATGCAGCTAATATAAACATATTGTCATGATTTTAGTGACTATAGACGTTTAAATAGGTAATCAGATTTATTACACACTTACAGATCGTAACTATAAGTGCCTAAAGCGCTGTCACTAATTCACACAATCTACAATTCACTACAGCACACATATAGTCTTTTCCAACTTGCTGTGTCTTCACCAGCCGTTGTCTGATAACGGCTTCCAACGGCGGACGTTCCCATTACTCTGGGTTCCCGAACTGTCCCCGTCCGTCAGCTGCCAGCTTCCAGCAGCAACAGCTCGCAACGACCGGACTGAAGTTTTCTGATTAACTAATTCACCAAGCAATTCAATTCCCTGCACTTCACTAACTCTCATTAATTGGTGTGGTTATAATAGCTATGCACGGAAAACACAGAAAACACCGTTCCTCTTGTGCTGTTCAATTGTTGCTTAGCGGACCGCACAGAAAGTAGCGTTCATCTGTTGCTGTTCAATTTTTGCTTTTTGGGAATCTGTTGCCTAGCAGCGGGCGAAGTCTGCCTGATACAATACCGTACTGTGTAAAGGAGTGAAAGAAACGAAAAAAAAACAGAATCTAGATTTTGAGCGCTGTATTCAGTCATTACAGTTCCTAAGGTAGAAAATTTGTTTTTGCAGAACACTCGTGAGAACCTGACCAATGTGACAAAAAATAATAGATTTCTCCTTTTAAAGAAGATCCCTTAAAATTCCATCAGAGAACGCGATTCGCTTTTACGCTGAATTGACTCGCATTTCGAGTTTTGCTGATGGATGACTTTTTTTACGTGCCTTTCATTTCGCCATAGGCAGTATGAGTAAGGGGTTCATATGTGGCAGTTTGAAAAGGGACGGAGGAACAAATGAGCTGGAAGCTACGGCTTCAGGAGGGTGGAGGGACGAATAGCTCTGGCCCCAGGTCGGACCAACAGTAGCTGATTACTCACGGAATCCGTCTAGATTAGGCCATTACTGCAAACTTCCGAGCGGGTTGCCGTGCCTCAGGCTGAGAACGTAGTAACACGGGCAATGTTTGTGACCGCGGCTTTGGCCCCTCAGCGCTTTTCGTGTGCAGCGCGTAGCATGCAGATCTGCAGGACTACAGGGGCTGCCTTTATGTGACCAGCGTCTTGCAGACACCCCCTTCCTACAGCGTAAAGTTGAAAACAATCCCCATGATTATTTAACCATCACACCATGAAAACTTAGGAGGAATTGAGGTAAAGAGAAAATATAAACTTGACCTGGGCAAGTGAAGTTATAGCTCCATCATTCTTGACCTCGGCAATGGATGGATTAAGTTGTCGGCTTCACTCCCCGGCCGTTTTACCCCCGAAAAGAGAGCACCCGATGCCTATTGGACGGGAGGCAATGTGAACACCAAAGCCGGTCTGGACGCTGTGAAAGAGAGAAACGTCTATTATCCCTGCCAGGAATTGAACCCTAACGTCTTGCTCGTAGCCCGCCGCTATACCATCTAAGCTAGACGACTCAGAATGGAGGTATAGCTCCATATATTCTTAACCTAGGCATTAGATAGAGGAAAGTGGTCACCTTCACGACATCACGCCCTGACCTCCTCACCTCATAAGAAATAGTTGGAAATAGTGACTCAATACGCGTCTAGGTTGGTACCAGGACCGGTCTGGGCGCTGCGATAAAGAGATCAATTTCTTGCTCCTGCCGGGAATCGAACTAGAATTTCTTGTCCAGCTCGTAGCCTAGTTGATACACCAGCTGAGCTATTCCGGCTTTTGCAGTGTTTGAAATAAAGATATGTTTTTTTATAACAGGAGGCCTCATAAAATTTAATTCTGAGGATCTTCATAATTTGCCGTGTAGACTTGGGATGATCAGCTGACGGAGAATGAGAGGAACGGAGCATGTGCCGTGACCGTGAGAAATAAAATATTCTTAAAATATGAATATCAGAAAATAATATAATATTAAAATAAATCCTGAAGATAATAGCTCTAAGATAGAGACCGTATTCGTCAGAATAGTACTGTCTTCTAGGACATAACGCAGTGTGGTCCGTTGAAAGGCAACCGACGTTTCGGAGTAATATATCTCGTCCATCTTCAGAGTCGAAGAATAAACCAAGAAATCTCTGCTTGACATCTGTTTTCACGCTGGTTTATGTTCGGCTTATTCTTCTACACTGAAGATTTAGGCGATATCTTCCTCCGAAACGTCGGTTGCCTTTCATCGCACTACAGAATATAGTACTTACTTACTTACTCATGGAGCTGAGCCCTTCTGGAGGAGCCGCCAATTCTGCAGCTACTCAGTTTCACAGCATTTTATGGAACCCGAAGGTTCATTACAGTGTTCACAAG